AGGAAGGGATAAGGATGCTTACCCGAGTGAGAATATCAGAGAAAGATGGAGAGAGGGATTGTGACCAGCGACGGCTTGAGAAATAGCCGGAGAAAACGCAGCGACGGCCTGAAAATTGGCCCGCGATGGAGAAGATTGCCGGAGATACGGCCTGAGATGAGAACGACGGCCGGAGGAATGGCCAATGAGAATCCGAGAGATAGAGAACTTAGGCCAGAGAATCGCCGAAGAAAATGCAGCGACGGCCTGAGAAATGGCCGGAGAAGACGCAGCGGCGGCTTGACCAGAGAGAAGGGGTGTTGGTGGCTTGTGGTTTCGGGTGAAGTGTGGTGGATGAGAGATGGGGAGATGGAATGGAGGTAGAGTGGTGGCTTCGGTGGAGGGATGAGGTGGTGTGGAGAGATGGAGGATTAGAGAGATGATGAGGAGGTTAGGGTTTGGCGGAGAGAGAGAGAAGATGGATAGACGGAGGCACGAGAGAGAAGATATGCAACGCGTAGGGAAGAGCGAGCATGTATAAAGACTATTTGCTTCGCTTCCCTGCTGTTTTTCTTTTGTATGTTTGGGAGAGAGGGAAGAAGAAAGAAAGAAAGAAGGAAAGAGAGAGAAAAGTAAGAAAAGGTAAAGAGAAGATATATAAAAAAAAAAAAAAAAAAAAAAAATCAGGTTTTTAGAAATTATAAAACTGAAGAGTCAAAAATCTAGGTTTGGGTATTTATTTTTATTTTTTGAACTTTAAAATTCTAGGTTTAGGTTTTTATTTTTATTTTTATTTTTTCTTCTTTTTCCCAAAATAAATACAATCCTCCTATTCTTCATTTATTTTTATTTATTTATTATTGCTTACATCGATTTTGGTAGTGAGTTCCATCAAATCGTGTCAAAAAAAAAAAAAAAAACAACAACAACAACATTAACGTTTTATGTCTGACAAATCGATCTCTCTCCAAAGCCTATCTTCAGTGATCGATAAATGTGTACCAAAATTTTAACATAATATTAAGATAACACTTTTATTTGAATTGATAGTCTTAAAAATGAAAAGATTTTATAGTTCTTGCCATCGTAAATTTCAAGTAAATTTTGTTCTTTATAATCCTTAAATATTAGAAAAGCAAATCAATTTACAAATCTAATTTTACACCACCTTAATGTTTTTATTTATTTATTTATTTTATGAATTTCAACAACTTTTTTCACAATGACAATTGAGTGTTGGACTTGTACTTTTGGGGACACCGAATTATTGGATTTGAAATTAAAAGAAATTTAGCTAAGTTACAATTAATTTTGTGAAAACAGTTTAAGAAAAATAACTTAATTTTAAAGAATAGTGAATTTTTTGAAATTAATCTGTTCTTGGAGAACTAAACCGAACAAGTCTGAAGTTATAAATGCATTGGACCAATGTCCAATCTGTCTATCTGAAGATAAGGAACAAAACCCATTGAAACCCAAGTTACACATTATTGGAATTGGTTTGGACTTAAGATGTTGTTGGGTTCAATTTGAAATGGCCCAAGCTTGAATAACAAAAGTAGTGGATTTGGGTTCCATTGACCACCTAAATGCCGACTTTATCCATTGCATCTTTTTTCATATGAAAACCAAGGCGGTGTTTTGGGGAGTTTCTAAACCTAAACATTAAGGTGGTGTTGGGTGTTTGGGTCAGTGTGATGCTATTTTGATCATTTATTTATTTGTTATTTTTATGGCAGCTCATTTTAACATTTAATTTTAAAAAATAAAAAATATGACAATGAAGTGCTTTCAGTGGCAAGATTGTGAATACTACTAAAAAAAAAAAAAAAAAAAAAAAAAATTGGTTTAATTCAGAAATAGAATGTTTAAATTTCAAACAGTTGCAAATAAAAAATTTAATTTATAATTAGTTTTTAAAACTCAATTCACAAAATTTTGAGTATTCTATCAAGCAATAAGCTTTCCGGGTTTGTACAAGAAAAATGTAGTTAAATAAATTGCTACACGTGATCTCAATTTCTTGATAGTTTTGAATCAAAATTCTAGGTTTGGGTTTTTATTTTTATTTTTTCTTCTTTTTCCCAAAATAAATACAATCCTCCTATTCTTCCTTTATTTTTATTTATTTAAATTTTTTGGTGTACCCAGTGAGTGGCTTATTGCTTCGATTGATTTTGGTAGCGAGTTCCCTCAAATTTGTCAATACAACAAAATAAAAATAAATAAAAAAGAATTGAACAAGAACATCGATTCCCCTTTAAAGCATAAGAATAGATTGAACGTTTTAAATTAAGGTTTTATGTCTAACAAATCGACCTCTCTCCATGCCCTATCTTCGGTGATCAATAAATGTGTGCCAAAATTTTAAAGACATGTCAATGCATGACAATTGAATTGCAAAAAGGAAATAAAAAAAAAAATGAAAAAGAAAAGAAGAAGAAGAGGACTAAAGATCTTTTAAATTGAATTGATTTATAATTTTGTACCTTAACTTGCTATTTGAAAGTCTACTGACTAATGCCGGCAACAACTGATGCAACACAGTGTGATCGTTTATTATACCATCATGCATTGAAAAATAAATGTAGTAATGTATGGATTTCTATTCCCCATACAAACGTAATATTATGATAACAATTTCATTTAAATTAATAGTCTTAAAAATGAAAAGATTTTATAATTCTTGCCATTGTAAATTTCAAGTAAATCTTGTTCTTTATAATCCTTAAATATTTGAAAAGCAAATCAATTTACAAATCTAATTTAAGAGTGCAATTTGACTACCATGTATCCTTTTATAAAAATTCAAGAGTTGCTGCACGCCTACTTGGATGACGCCTACTTCGATGAAGCCTACTTCGAGGACAAGGAGCTGTTGAAGAGGATTAAGCCTTAAGATGTGGTTACTTATAACGTTGACTAACAACTGGTAACCCAAACTCTTTCCTTTTTCTATTTGAAGAAGTCTGAGGGGCCCAGAGTTTCAGCACCACTCTAGTCACTCCCACTAAGAATTTTTTGCAGATCTATAGACCAGCGCGTTCCTCTTCGCAAGGAGATGAACGTGGTAACCCAGTTACAATAAGAGGAGATACAGTGTGAAGCGGTTTATTTATTTATTTTTTTTATAAAACCCAATTTAACATTTAATTTTATTTTTTTTTTAAAAAAATGTGCCAACGAAGTGCTTTCAACTACTTAAAAATTAGGTTTAATTGAGAATGAGAACATTTAAATTTCAAACAGTTACAAATAAAAATTTCAATTTATAATTAGTATTTAAAATTCAGTTCATAAAATTTTGAATATTTAAATTTTAATTCTATCAAAAAATAAGCTTTCCGGGTTATACAAGAAAAATGTAGTTAAAAGAAATTGCTACATGCGATCTCAATTTATTGATTATTTTGAATCAAAATTCTAGGTTTGGGTTTTTTAAATATATATATATATATATATATATGTATATATATATATATATATATAGATTTTTCATCATTTAGTAATAGAATAGTGACTAAAAGTAGTCTATCAATCAGGATATAATTTGAGAATTAAAGGTGGAAACAATGTTACATAGACTTGTTACATTACCCATGATGCAACCTTCTATTTGCACATTGTTGATGATCTATGAAGCACGGACACAGATACGGGACACGGGTACGACACGACACGGATACGGCGACACGGCAAATTTCAAAACAATAGGACACGGACAGGGCGAGGATACGCCTATAAAATTATATATATATATATATATATATATATATATATATATATATATATATATATATATTCAAAATATAATTACTAGAATCTTGTACAGATAAATAAAACAACAATAAAGAACAGAATTAATTTCAATAATTTCATCTCTGTTATAAGAAAGATATGGACAAGACAAAACAGAAAATAAATGAAAAATAAAGTTGATCCAAATTCCAAACGAAGATGTGCAGAAGAGACATAGCTATAATGAACTAAATATGTATATGAATAAATATATATACTTTCAGTCTTTCACAAAGTTTTGTTCATGTAACTTAAATATATATGTATATATATATATTTTGTTCATGAAGAGAGATAATTGAAGAAGAGGAGAGACTGAGAGGAGTGAGAGAAAATAAATCTTGTCTCACAGAAGTGTCGGACCGTGTGTCCGAGCCTCGGACACGCGTGTCCAATAAAAAATAATATTTGGACACTTTACAGAAGTGTCGGACACGTGTCCGAGCCTCGGACACGGGTGTCGGTGTCCGAAAAGTATCCGACACGGGTACGGGACCCCTGAGAGGAGTGTCCGTGATTCATAGTTGATGATATTTGGAATATTATGTGAATTAATAAAAATGATTACTCACTCATGTTGGAATTAAGGATGACCATCTACGGATTTTTCTTCTTTCTTCTTTTTATTGGGTGTTAGTGAGAAGTTTGATGATGAATGTAAATAGTAGCAAACTCATCTCTCTCAATCACTTACGCTAACACCGTGGAATCGATGGTCTTCAAATGAAAAGATTTTATTGTTTTATTTTTATTTTTTTTGATAAGTAAAAAAGATTTTATTGTTCTTGCCATTATACATCTTCTTGTTCTTTATCCTTATATATTAACATTGCGAACCAATTTATCTACCACATGCTTTTACAAATCTAAATTTAAGGGTGCAATTTAGATTAAAAACGAGTACAACAACAAATCAAATAAGGGCCTTTGTTTCTCTCTGCTGTCTAACCTGGTTCTCTCTCTACCGCATCAACAAGAAGAAGAAACAGCTGTCTGACCTGGTTTCTTTGGTCTTAGCATGTGCAAGGGTATGGTTTTGAGGTAAGAGGATAGTAACTGCGATGCATATCTGAAGGAATTTTAGTTTGTGGAGCATGACCTGCTGGGGAAGACGACGTATGAATTACATATTGGCCGTGCAGTTGTGGGTACCAGACCACCAAATTATACCTAAAATCATTACATCCACAGAGACATGCATCCACATATAAAATACATTCAACTTTTCAAAACAGTGAACTATGATGCATAACAGTACCATATACCTAAAATCTAAACAAACAAGTCTCCACATATAAAATTTCATTCTGAAATACAAATTCTCAAAACAGTTTACTATGCACAAAAATAACAAAGTCACTTTTTCAACTACCAAGTAGCTCTCACAAGAAGTTCTACCCTCCTTTTTGTAATCTCTCCTTTATCCAAGTAACATCATCCTGAATGGCTTTCAAATCCCTCTCCAGGGCTTTGAATCTCCCCAGTGTGACTGGGGCATCATCCTTCTCATAAGCAGATATCAGTGCCATACCGCAGGATATGTCATCTCCTGTTACTTCTTGATGCTCAGCAGCCTTCGCCTTCGCCTTCTCCTTCTCCTTCTCCTTCTCCTTCTCCTTCTCCTGAGCATGTCTAATAGCCACACCACAAGCCACAACATACTCAGGCTTCAACCTTATTTGAAGCTTGCTCTCAAACTGTGCCTGTACCACTTCTCTAAGTTTGGGAATGTTTGAACATCCCCCAACCAACACAATCTCATGCAGGCGGCCATACTTGTCCTTCGCAAACTTCCTCAAATAACACCTTATCATCTTAACCAGAGACACGAAAAGATACCCATTGAGCTCCTCAAACTTGGGGCGCGTGAAGGAGGTGCTGTAATCAACCCCGTCTAACAACTGTTTCACCTCCACCTCGACAAGATCATTTGATGACAGCGAAATTTTCGCCTTTTCGCAGGGGATGAGTAGTCGATTGATCACAGCCATGTTAGCATGGACACCACGGTGCCTCTTATTGAACTCATCCCGAATGTGAAGCGCCATATTCATGTCCATCCTTTCACCACAAATTTTATCATCTGTAGTAGTTTCTTCGTATTCCAATCTGTCTTGTCCCACACTGAACAAGGTCACATTTGACGCCGTCCCACCTACATCTACAATCAAAACGTTTTTGATGACAGGATTCCTAATCTCCTTCTCGTAACCATACGCAGAGACTACAGCGGTAACTTCAGTGTGGGTCCCAGCCAGCCTGAGATCTGCAAATGCAATTGCATTTTGAATACCATCCACCCTGGCATTCCGATTCTCTAACTTGTTGGGTAAGGCACAAGCCACATCCACTATGCAGACCCCAAGGGACTTCTCGGCCGTCTTCTTGATCTCTTCAATGATTAAAGAAGATACAGCTTCGGGAGACAAATGTTTTTCCACTCCTTTGATGGTCACATTTATCCAAGGCGCGTCGTCTTCATGTAAATCTTCAATCATGTGCACACCAATGGGAGCAGGCAACTTGGAATGGAGGGCACTCGCTGTGTAGCCAACGAATCTCAGGGGACCTACAAAAAGAGAAAAAAATATTAAGGTGTTATTTATATTAAGGTACTAAATCAAGATTAAGCATCTAACCAGTAATTGTATTTTCGCGATTCATAGGAAAAAGTTCCTTCGCAGCATCGCCAATTAATGGCCCGGAGTCCGTAAAAGAAACGTAACAAGGAAGTGAGGCTGCTATTGTTGCAACGTTTCCTTCAATAACAGCAAGGGAACAGGACGTGGTGCCGAAATGAATGCCCACAGTCGGTCCCTCTTTGTTTAATTTCATTGCTTTACTCTTGGCCCGTACCTGAAAACACAGCAGGAATCTTAAACGTGAGATGGAGACCCAAGGAAAAAACAAGAAGAAGAACAGAATCCGAGAATGGCAGAAAACGATATACCTGAAGCATCCCATCGTTTCCGTCGGAGGAGGGAGCCATTTCTGCAAAAACTCTCCCAGTCGGTCCCTCTTTGTTTAATTCCATTGCTTTTCTCTTGGCCCGTACCTGAAAACGGAGCAGGAATCTTAAACGTGAGATGGAGACCCGGGGAAAAAAAGAAGAAAGAGAGCAAACAGAATCAGAGAATGGCAGAAAACGATATACCTGACCCATCCCATCGTTTCCATCGTCTGAGGAAACCATTTCAAGCAAAACCCAATCAGCCAAATGCTACTGCAACAAAAGAAATTCAAGCAAAACCCATGAACGAAAATACTATGAGGTGCCACAAAAACTAATAAATTGAAAAACATAATCAGCCAAATTAGCCAATTCAATGAATGAATGAAAGATCTCAGCACGACAACACATAGTCACTTGTCAGCAAAACAATGAATCTTCTATACTTGAACATTTGTATAAATGAATACATTCATTATTGTTGATTTCATAAAAAAAAACAGAGATTTATTACTGTAAGTGTTCCCTACAAAAATTATTGAATTCACACAAGAAATAAATGAATGAAAGCTTAACGTCATGGACATCCTTCAACAATATATCAACCTCTTCTTTCTCATGGAAATTAATTAACAAAACATGTATATAGTGTGCAGTGTATACTGCTTTTGATAATTAGTCCCAATTCCCAAAACTGTTTCCTCCGCAATAACTTAGCTCTAGAGAGATTTGTCATTTGTCTTATCTCAATTTTCAATACAACTCATAACTCACGTCACATTCGCTCACAAACAACATGAAATGCCCTCACATGGCAAAAATCAAGCAAGATGCACTTAGAGCATGTTCATCTCAATTAGGGACACTTTGGACAAATTCTGAAAATGATTGAAACTTGAAGAAACAAAATCAAATCACATTTCACATTTCAGCTATCAAATCCCAATTTCCAATTTTGAAAACTATATAACACCTCTAAACATTTCAGCCATTAGAATTTTCAGAAGTTAAGCATCACAAATGATCCGCATACATGACCATATATGCATTGAAGATCAATCATGTCAAAAAGTTCCAAAAGAAACCATATACATGCATAGAACACGTATAGATATCAAAGATTGTGTCTCCTCTAATTTCAGAATTTATTTGCATGCTTAATGACATTCAAGTTCCTTTCCAAAATTATCCAACTCATCCAATTGAAAAACAACTTATCCAAATTGAACATCACGACTCATGTGTTGAACAAACTCGAAACATCATTTTTGCAATTTCAGAATTTCAAAGTCTTAACACTTGGATATGAACTTGTGTGAACATACTTTCCATTAGAATAATCAAGAGTGCAACTTTAGAATATTTTTCAATGTCAAACTCTCAAGCATAAATATCAACTACAATGCCCAAACAATTCCCAAAGATTTTTAACACTCAACATCAAAGGATCATCATGGTCCTCCCTCAAAAATTTATTTCTCGACTCAATCAAACGGCAACACTCTCAAAACCACTTTTAGAAGATAAAGTCTCATTAGAAATTTGAACTAAACGGTTTAAATCGACAACAAGAATCAAATTCCAAAATTCAGAATTTTAGAATCCAAAGTTCAAGTCATACACGTATATATATATATATAAACTTCTCCAATGCCTCAGCCCATCACAATTTCAGAACACAAATCATATGTCATCACACATTGATATATATCAAAACTACCCAAACTTCGCAGCCCATCACAGTCGCAACTTCTCCACAATTTCAGAACACACATCATCTATATATATGATCACAGACATCACAGCCACAGCCTAAAACAAAAATTCCCAAACTTCAAACCACATATATGCATATCCCGAATATATACCAACATCAAAACTGAAACAATCAAACCATATACATCACAGATTCTCAGAAATTAAAAACACATATATATCATCTCAGATTCACAGCCCCGTCAATTTTTCTCAAAATACCAAATCACAATGTATATCATGAATATAGATCATCATAAAATTCAAACTCCTAATCTCAGTAATCTGAAAAATCAAAACCCTTATTCTCAGACTTTTTACACATGGATACTCACAAGTACACACATATATTTAGATAAAAAGAGAGAAGAGGAGGGGATAAGGATGCTTACCCGAGTGAGAATATCAGAGAAAGATGAGAGAGGGATTGTGACCAGCGACGGCTTGAGAAATGGCCGGAGAAAACGCAGCGACGGCCTGAAAATTGGCCCGCGATGGAGAAGATTGCCGGAGATACGGCCTGAGATGAGAACGACAGCGGGAGGATTGGCCGATGAGAATCCGAGATATAGGGAACTTCGGCCAGAGAATCGGCCGAAGAAAATGCAGCGACGGCCTGAGAAATGGCCGGAGAACACGCAGCGGCGGCTTGACCAGAGAGAGGGGGTGTTGGTGGCTTGTGGTTTCTGGTGAAGTGTGGTGGATGAGAGATGGGGAGATGGAATGGAGGTGGAGTGGTGGCTTCGGTGGAGGGATGAGGTGGTGTGGCGAGATGGAGGGTAAGAGAGATGAGGAGGAGGTTAGGGTTTGGCAGAGAGAGAGAGAGAGAGAGAGAGAGAAAAGATGGAGAGATGGAGGCACGAGAGAGAAGATATGTAACACTCGGGTAGGTTGTAGGGAAGAGCATGTATAAAGACTATTTGCTTCGCTTCTCTGCTGTTTTTCTTTTGTATGTTTGGGAGGGAAGAAAGAAAGAAAGGAAGAGAGAGAAAAGTAAGAAAAGGTAAAGAGAAGATATATAAAAAAAAAAAAAAATCAGGGTGTTAGAAATTTTAAAACTGAAGAATCAAAAATCTAGGTTTGGATTTTTATTTATATTTTTTGAACTTTAAAATTCTAGGTTTGGGTTTTTATTTTTATTTTTTCTTCTCTTTCCCAGAATAAATACAATCCTCCTATTCTTCCTTTATTTATTTTTTTGGTGAACCTAGTGGGTGGCTTATTGCTTCCATCGATTTTGGTAGCGAGTTCCATCAAATAGTGTCAATACAACAAAATAAAAATAAAAATATAACAAGAACATCGATTCCCCTTTAAAAGCGTAAGAATAGATTAAACGTTTACCATTAACGTTTTATGTCTAACAAATCGACCTCTCTCAATGAATCTTCTATACTTGAACATTTGTATAAATGAATACATTCATTATGGTTGATTTCATAAAAAAAAGCAGAGATTTATTACTGTGAGTGTTCCCTACAAAAATTATTGAATTCACACAAGAAATAAATGAATGAAAGCTTAAAGTCATGGACATCCTTCAACAATATATCAACCTTTTCTTTCTCATGGAAATTAATTAACAAAACATGTATATAGTGTGCAGTGTATACTGCTTTTGATAATTAGTCCCAATTCCCAAAACTGTTTCCTCCGCAATAACTTAGCTCTAGAGAGATTTGTCATTTGTCTTATCTCAATTTTCAATACAACTCATAACTCACATCACATTCGCTCACAAACAACACGAAATGCCCTCACATGGCAAAAATCAAGCAAGATGCACTTAGAGCATGTTCATCTCAATTAGGGACACTTTGGACAAATTCTGAAAATGATTGAAACTTGAAGAAACAAAATCAAATCACATTTCACATTTCAGCTATCAAATCCCAATTTCCAATTTTGAAAACTATATAACACCTCTAAACATTTCAGCCCTTGGGATTTTCAGAAATTAAGCATCACAAATGATCCGCATACATTAGCATATATGCATTGAAGATCAATCATGTCAAAAAGTTCCAAGAGAAACCATATACATGCATAGAACACGTATAGATATCAAAGATTGTGTCTCCACTAATTTCAGAATTTATTTGCACGCTTAATGACATTCAAGTTCCTTTCCAAAATTATCCAACTCATCCCAATTATCCAATTGAAATACAACAGAATTTCAAATACAACTTATCCAAATTGAACATCACAACTCAGCTATTGAACAATTTCAAAACATCAATTATGAAATTTCAGAATTTCAAAGTCTTAACACATGGATATGAACTTGTGTGAACATGCTTTCCATTAGAATAATCAAGAGTGCAACTTCAGAATATTTTTCAATGTCAAACTCTCAAGCATAAATATCAACTACAATGCCCAAACAATTCCCAAAGATTTTTAACACTCAACATCAAACGATCGTCATGGTCTTCCCTCAAAAATTTATTTCTCGACTCAATCAAACGGCAACACTCTCAAAACCATTTTTAGAAGATAAAGTCTCATTAGAAATTTGAACTAAACAGTTTAAATCGATAACAAGAATCAAATTCCAAAATTCAGAATTTTAGAATCCAAAGTTCAAGTCACACACGTGTATATATATATATAAACTTCTCCAATGCCTCAGCCCATCACAATTTCAGATCACAAATCATATACGTCATCGATATATATCTAAACTACCCAAACTTCACAGCCCATCACAGTCACAACTTCTCCACTATTTCAGAACACACATCATCTATATATATGATCACAGACATCGCAGCCACAGCCTAAAACAAAAATTCCCAAACTTCAAACCACATATATGCATATCCGGAATATATACCAACATCAAAACTGAAACAATCAAACCATGTATATCACAGATTCTCAGAAATTAAAAACACAAATATATCATCTCAGATTCACAGCCCCGTCAATTTTTCTCAAAATACCAAATCACAATGTATATCATGAATCTAGATCATCATAAAATTCAAACTACTAATCTCAGTAATTAGAAAAATCAAAACCCTTATTCTCAGACTTTTTACACAAGGATACTCACAAGTACACACATATATTTAGATAAAAAGAGGAAGAGGAAGGGATAAGGATGCTTACCCGAGTGAGAATATCAGAGAAAGATGGAGAGAGGGATTGTGACCAGCGACGGCTTGAGAAATAGCCGGAGAAAACGCAGCGACGGCCTGAAAATTGGCCCGCGATGGAGAAGATTGCCGGAGATACGGCCTGAGATGAGAACGACGGCCGGAGGAATGGCCAATGAGAATCCGAGAGATAGAGAACTTAGGCCAGAGAATCGCCGAAGAAAATGCAGCGACGGCCTGAGAAATGGCCGGAGAAGACGCAGCGGCGGCTTGACCAGAGAGAAGGGGTGTTGGTGGCTTGTGGTTTCGGGTGAAGTGTGGTGGATGAGAGATGGAGAGATGGGGAGATGGAATGGAGGTAGAGTGGTGGCTTCGGTGGAGGGATGAGGTGGTGTGGAGAGATGGAGGATTAGAGAGATGATGAGGAGGTTAGGGTTTGGCGGAGAGAGAGAGAAGATGGATAGACGGAGGCACGAGAGAGAAGATATGCAACGCGTAGGGAAGAGCGAGCATGTATAAAGACTATTTGCTTCGCTTCCCTGCTGTTTTTCTTTTGTATGTTTGGGAGAGAGGGAAGAAGAAAGAAAGAAAGAAGGAAAGAGAGAGAAAAGTAAGAAAAGGTAAAGAGAAGATATATAAAAAAAAAAAAAAAAAAAAATCAGGTTTTTAGAAATTATAAAACTGAAGAGTCAAAAATCTAGGTTTGGGTATTTATTTTTATTTTTTGAACTTTAAAATTCTAGGTTTAGGTTTTTATTTTTATTTTTATTTTTTCTTCTTTTTCCCAAAATAAATACAATCCTCCTATTCTTCATTTATTTTTATTTATTTATTATTGCTTACATCGATTTTGGTAGTGAGTTCCATCAAATCATGTCAAAAAAAAAAAAAAAAACAACAATAAATGTGTACCAAAATTTTAACATAATATTAAGATAACACTTTTATTTGAATTGATAGTCTTAAAAATGAAAAGATTTTATAGTTCTTGCCATCGTAAATTTCAAGTAAATTTTGTTCTTTATAATCCTTAAATATTAGAAAAGCAAATCAATTTACAAATCTAATTTTACACCACCTTAATGTTTTTATTTATTTATTTATTTTATGAATTTCAACAACTTTTTTCACAATGACAATTGAGTGTTGGACTTGTACTTTTGGGGACACCGAATTATTGGATTTGAAATTAAAAGAAATTTAGCTAAGTTACAATTAATTTTGTGAAAACAGTTTAAGAAAAATAACTTAATTTTAAAGAATAGTGAATTTTTTGAAATTAATCTGTTCTTGGAGAACTAAACCGAACAAGTCTGAAGTTATAAATGCATTGGACCAATGTCCAATCTGTCTATCTGAAGATAAGGAACAAAACCCATTGAAACCCAAGTTACACATTATTGGAATTGGTTTGGACTTAAGATGTTGTTGGGTTCAATTTGAAATGGCCCAAGCTTGAATAACAAAAGTAGTGGATTTGGGTTCCATTGACCACCTAAATGCCGACTTTATCCATTGCATCTTTTTTCATATGAAAACCAAGGCGGTGTTTTGGGGAGTTTCTAAACCTAAACATTAAGGTGGTGTTGGGTGTTTGGGTCAGTGTGATGCTATTTTGATCATTTATTTATTTGTTATTTTTATGGCAGCTCATTTTAACATTTAATTTTAAAAAATAAAAAATATGACAATGAAGTGCTTTCAGTGGCAAGATTGTGAATACTACTAAAAAAAAAAAAAAATTGGTTTAATTCAGAAATAGAATGTTTAAATTTCAAACAGTTGCAAATAAAAAATTTAATTTATAATTAGTTTTTAAAATTCAATTCACAAAATTTTGAGTATTTAAATTTTAATTCTATCAAGCAATAAGCTTTCCGGGTTTGTACAAGAAAAATGTAGTTAAATAAATTGCTACACGTGATCTCAATTTCTTGATAGTTTTGAATCAAAATTCTAGGTTTGGGTTTTTATTTTTATTTTTTCTTCTTTTTCCCAAAATAAATACAATCCTCCTATTCTTCCTTTATTTTTATTTATTTAAATTTTTTGGTGTACCCAGTGAGTGGCTTATTGCTTCGATTGATTTTGGTAGCGAGTTCCCTCAAATTTGTCAATACAACAAAATAAAAATAAATAAAAAAGAATTGAACAAGAACATCGATTCCCCTTTAAAGCATAAGAATAGATTGAACGTTTTAAATTAAGGTTTTATGTCTAACAAATCGACCTCTCTCCATGCCCTATCTTCGGTGATCAATAAATGTGTGCCAAAATTTTAAAGACATGTCAATGCATGACAATTGAATTGCAAAAAGGAAATAAAAAAAAAAATGAAAAAGAAAAGAAGAAGAAGAGGACTAAAGATCTTTTAAATTGAATTGATTTATAATTTTGTACCTTAACTTGCTATTTGAAAGTCTACTGACTAATGCCGGCAACAACTGATGCAACACAGTGTGATCGTTTATTATACCATCATGCATTGAAAAATAAATGTAGTAATGTATGGATTTCTATTCCCCATACAAACGTAATATTATGATAACAATTTCATTTAAATTAATAGTCTTAAAAATGAAAAGATTTTATAATTCTTGCCATTGTAAATTTCAAGTAAATCTTGTTCTTTATAATCCTTAAATATTTGAAAAGCAAATCAATTTACAAATCTAATTTAAGAGTGCAATTTGACTACCATGTATCCTTTTATAAAAATTCAAGAGTTGCTGCACGCCTACTTGGATGACGCCTACTTCGATGAAGCCTACTTCGAGGACAAGGAGCTGTTGAAGAGGATTAAGCCTTAAGATGTGGTTACTTATAACGTTGACTAACAACTGGTAACCCAAACTCTTTCCTTTTTCTATTTGAAGAAGTCTGAGGGGCCCAGAGTTTCAGCACCACTCTAGTCACTCCCACTAAGAATTTTTTGCATATCTATAGACCAGCGCGTTCCTCTTCGCAAGGAGATGAACGTGGTAACCCAGTTACAATAAGAGGAGATACAGTGTGAAGCGGTTTATTTATTTATTTTTTTTATAAAACCCAATTTAACATTTAATTTTATTTTTTTTTTAAAAAAAATGTGCCAACGAAGTGCTTTCAACTACTTAAAAATTAGGTTTAATTGAGAATGAGAACATTTAAATTTCAAACAGTTACAAATAAAAATTTCAATTTATAATTAGTATTTAAAATTCAGTTCATAAAATTTTGAATATTTAAATTTTAATTCTATCAAAAAATAAGCTTTCCGGGTTATACAAGAAAAATGTAGTTAAAAGAAATTGCTACATGCGATCTCAATTTATTGATTATTTTGAATCAAAATTCTAGGTTTGGGTTTTTTAAATATATATATATATATATGTATATATATATATATATATATAGATTTTTCATCATTTAGTAATAGAATAGTGACTAAAAGTAGTCTATCAATCAGGATATAATTTGAGAATTAAAGGTGGAAACAATGTTACATAGACTTGTTACATTACCCATGATGCAACCTTATATTTGCACATTGTTGATGATCTATGAAGCACGGACACAGATACGGGACACGGGTACGACACGACACGGATACGGCGACACGGCAAATTTCAAAAAAATAGGACACGGACAAGGCGAGGATACGCCTATAAAATTATATATATATATATATATATTCAAAATATAATTACTAGAATCTTGTACAGATAAATAAAACAACAATAAAGAACAGAATTAATTTCAATAATTTTATCTCTGTTATAAGAAAGATATGGACAAGACAAAACAGAAAATAAATGAAAAATAAAGTTGATCCAAATTCCAAACGAAGATGTGCAGAAGAGACATAGCTATAATGAACTAAATATGTATATGAATAAATATATATACTTTTAGTCTTTCACAAAATTTTGTTCATGTAACTTAAATATATATATATATATATATATATATATATATATTTTGTTCATGAAGAGAGATAATTGAAGAAGAGGAGAGACTGAGAGGAGTGAGAGAAAATAAATCTTGTCTCACAGAAGTGTCGGACCGTGTGTCCGAGCCTCGGACACGCGTGTCCAATAAAAAATAATATTTGGACACTTTACAGAAGTGTCGGACACGTGTCCGAGCCTCAGACACGGGTGTCGGTGTCCGAAAAGTATCCGACACGGGTACGGGACCCCTGAGAGGAGTGTCCGTGATTCATAGTTGATGATATTTGGAATATTATGTGAATTAATAAAAATGATTACTCACTCATGTTGGAATTAAGGATGACCATCTACGGATTTTTCTTCTTTCTTCTTTTTATTGGGTGTTAGTGAGAAGTTTGATGATGAATGTAAATAGTAGCAAACTCATCTCTCTCAATCACTTACGCTAACACCGTGGAATCGATGGTCTTCAAATGAAAAGATTTTATTGTTTTATTTTTATTTTTTTTGATAAGTAAAAAAGATTTTATTGTTCTTGCCATTATACATCTTCTTGTTCTTTATCCTTATATATTAACATTGCGAACCAATTTATCTACCACATGCTTTTACAAATCTAAATTTAAGGGTGCAATTTAGATTAAAAACGAGTACAACAACAAATCAAATAAGGGCCTTTGTTTCTCTCTGCTGTCTAACCTGGTTCTCTCTCTACCGCATCAACAAGAAGAAGAAACAGCTGTCTGACCTGGTTTCTTTGGTCTTAGCATGTGCAAGGGTATGGTTTTGAGGTAAGAGGATAGTAACTGCGATGCATATCTGAAGGAATTTTAGTTTGTGGAGCATGACCTGCTGGGGAAGACGACGTATGAATTACATATTGGCCGTGCAGTTGTGGGTACCAGACCACCAAATTATACCTAAAATCATTACATCCACAGAGACATGCATCCACATATAAAATACATTCAACTTTTCAAAACAGTGAACTATGATGCATAACAGTACCATATACCTAAAATCTAAACAAACAAGTCTCCACATATAAAATTTCATTCTGAAATACAAATTCTCAAAACAGTTTACTATGCACAAAAATAACAAAGTCACTTTTTCAACTACCAAGTAGCTCTCACAAGAAGTTCTACCCTCCTTTTTGTAATCTCTCCTTTATCCAAGTAACATCATCCTGAATGGCTTTCAAATCCCTCTCCAGGGCTTTGAATCTCCCCAGTGTGACTGGGGCATCATCCTTCTCATAAGCAGATATCAGTGCCATACCGCAGGATATGTCATCTCCTGTTACTTCTTGATGCTCAGCAGCCTTCGCCTTCGCCTTCTCCTTCTCCTTCTCCTTCTCCTTCTCCTGAGCATGTCTAATAGCCACACCACAAGCCACAACATACTCAGGCTTCAACCTTATTTGAAGCTTGCTCTCAAACTGTGCCTGTACCACTTCTCTAAGTTTGGGAATGTTTGAACATCCCCCAACCAACACAATCTCATGCAGGCGGCCATACTTGTCCTTCGCAAACTTCCTCAAATAACACCTTATCATCTTAACCAGAGACACGAAAAGATACCCATTGAGCTCCTCAAACTTGGGGCGCGTGAAGGAGGTGCTGTAATCAACCCCGTCTAACAACTGTTTCACCTCCACCTC